TGTTTGTTTGTTTTTTACTGCTTTCACTGAATCATTAAAAAAACAGTTCAAATATGGTTGTCAGAGTTTATTGTATGGTTGAATCTGTGTGCCTTACAATGTTTTCAGGAAAATTGTTCTTAATCTTTCCATTCACGAATACATGTGTTCCATTTGATACATTATGCTTCAAGAACCTGGAACACGTGTGTACTTGGTTAGTGGAGGGTTAATACGATGACCCACTGAGGCTCAATATATGGGTCAATATTGACACCTTCCGGCAGCCAGAGCTCTGCTGCCCCCTGGTGTTCAGATACTGAAGATGAAGTCTCCTTCACCTGCACTTGTCTAGGACTTCAGCACTTCAGCATGTTACAATCTGATTTCATCATACAGGGAGCAGACTGTCAATGCTGTCAAACTCCTACAGGGAGAATTGATGCTTGATCAAGTCATTCAAATTGAAGTTCTTCTACCATGTCATGTAAATATACGGAATAACAAATGAGCCCCAGGTGGTCTCTAACTCCGGCTCTCTGTAGAAAAGAAGGGGGAAAAAAGGAATTAATTTTGCAGATAGATTAATATGTTTATTAATAAATCAGTTTCAGCAATGTGTTTTGCGATTTCATTTTCTTAAACAAATCTGCAAAAGTAAGAATTTTCCAACTCTCCTTGTCTAAATCTATAAATAAATGGTTTATTTTGATGGTTGAGTCTTTATTTACAAAGACGTTTGATCCCCTTAGTTTTTAGGTAATTGTGAAGGAACTTTATCCAACTGTTTTTCTGGTGTTTTATAGACAACACAAATAAAACGATGACTTAAAAACACACAACTGTGCGGTTAAAAGTATTTAAAGTAAGGCTCAGGCTGTATGAATGATTTTGAGTGAGCATCCACTAGGTGGCGCTTGTGTTAAATGAATAGAGATGCTGGGCCCTGCTGCTGCAGTTGAAGTTATATCACTGATGAATTAAGATGAAAAGATGATTTCTTTCTGTATGCACAACATCTTAACATGAAGATGGAGAGAATACACTTGCTGCAGGAGCGACTCATTTCAATTCCGTGCCCTACATATAAGGCTGCATATAATATTTCATAATCAGCGTGGCAAATATTAATGCAGCTGAATCTATTTAGACACAGGCTTAGCTTTGCTTCATTTCAGCAAATGCACTCTACTCAGTGGTTTATTTGAGGGGCCTGCCCACACAGAGCCCTCAATCCTATCCACTTACATCCAATCAATAACACTATTCCATTTATGCAACCATGACATCACACGAAAGCTTAGAAAAGCAACGCTGCGAGGGTTATTCTTGTCAAATTCCTGGCAACTTTGTATAACACAACAGCATATTATTGAATTCTGACTCATATGTTGCTGAGTGAGTCTCAGAAGATTTTCATTAGTTCCTTATTGCATGGGAACAGAATATCCCAGGGTGCATGTCGAAGCTTTTTGCAACGATTTTGGTTGAGGCAGGAGAAGATGAAGGATGGCCTTTAGAGATGCAACCCCAGAGACATGATGCACACTGAGCCATTGTCTCATCAGGCTTAGTATTCAGCTCAGTTTGCTCTATCACAAGGGCCAAGGCTCAAATCAATTCAATATGGTGGCTGGAGGGGGACGGCTATGCAGTGGGTGCAGCACGATACAAACACATCCACCACTGGGCCGCCAGACACTGGGATACAGTAGAGAGGTAGTGATTTTTTTTTTTCCCACGCTTCAATTTTGTTGGACTGTCACATACTCCTCGTTATTGTGGGGAAAACATTTGGCTAATATTTAACAAGTTGGTATGACGGATATGTGAAACCATGACCTGCAAAGGGAAGTACAAGATGTGCGCAAACTAAGGAGGTTTACATCTGAACAGCAGAGTTTAAATACATTTGTACATGCTCATTTTTGGTACATTTATTTTTCATTACAGATGTTTGGACAGAACGAACTCTGTCCTTCTCCATAACGATACTTAAGAACTGGTTTATACCAAGAAGCCCTTTGACACCAGTGGGATAAAACATTTCCATTACTGGTGGAAAAGCAATTTGTATTGAAATTTTGCTAGCTTAACTGCTAACAGCACATTGTGGACTCACACTAATCTACCTTAAGCCATTTGAGTTTTTGTGGTGCTAAAAAATCAAGATATTAGATAGGTGACTTGACTGGCAGACACCCAAAACACTGTTAAGGCAGTGTCTGAGTCAGACACAGATACTGGTATTGGAACATCTATAAAGCTAATAAAAAGTGAACTTCAGGTTTCAAGTTGAATTTTGGTTATGTGGCTGCTTAGCGGGTGTAATCGAGGCCTCTCACTGTGATTGACAGCCCCCAACTCTGACCTTGATATGAGATACAGGTCCTGCGGTCTCAGACAGTGAAGCATTTCTGACGCCCAAGCTGGCCTGATATCGGTTGGCACTCATCTCTGCATGTAGCTACATATGTGTGTGTGTGTGTGTGTGTGTATTTATATGCACTGTTGCCCAGAGAGCGAGAGAGAGAGAGAGAGAGAGAGAGAGAGAGAGAGAGAGAGAGAGAGAGAGAGAGAGAGAGAGAGAGAGAGAGAGAGAGAGAGAAACTCTCACACTTGAACCACCACGTGCTGCCATACAGTATGAATCATTGCCGTAGCTCAGGAGGTGAGACCGTGCCATAGCTCTCCATCTTTTCATCTGGGGTTCTGATCGTGTCAGTGCTGCAGGACTGATCAAAGCAGAGGACGAAGGAAGTCACGTCAGGGGGTTTCTCAGACATGTTTCCACAAATTTCTCCAACATTCAACAGACAAAGAGATGTTTGCTTTAGGTTAGTAGACTGGATAAACTGTTCAAAACCAGCTGAAGATTTACTGGAATTTGGATGTTTGTGGTATTTTGTATATATGCAGTCACTCAGTTGCAAAAACTGAAACATTTAAATTGACAGGAACATTAATTCAAGAGCATGAAAAAAATACCAGAGACAAACTGATGCATCATTGAATTTTTTTTTTATTAATTTCAAAGCAAAAGAGTCAAATCAATCAGTACGATACTGAAAAGACTTTACCTGCTCATCCTCTGCTCTTTACACTTCAGTTGGTGGGGTGCCTGTTGGCCTAGCGGTTAGATTGCACACCACATACAGAGGTTGTTGTCCTCGAAGCAGGTCGCTCAGGTTCAACTCTGACCCTCAGCTGCTTTCCAACATGATCTCTCCCCCCTCTCCTATCTACATAAAGGCATAGAAGCCCCACAAATCTTAATACATTTCAAGCAGCAAAAAGCAGCCTGGTTCCTGAAAGTTGACCTGGTTTTGTTGATTTCTTTTCTATGAATGATGCTGCTTCCTCTTGTCCGTTTGTTGATGTATTGCTGCCCTTCAGGGAAGGCAGTAGGTTGTATAGTTATCTCCTGATTGGGCAAAATCACTACCCTGAAACCACACAACCTACTACCTCACCCCGTTCGAACATCAGAAAGGTCCCATAGGTCAACGCGCTTTGGTCCACCAATTCTGGTAGTTACATACCAACACATTTCATTTCTTATTCTAAATAAACATGTCGTCATACATTTTACACTTTGAAAGATCAACACTCTTAATATCTCTTACTTCCAATGACAGATGACATTACAGTCAGAACTGTAAATTAAATTTATTGGCAAGCATCCGCTTCCTGACAGATTAAAAATACCGCTTACATACATGTCAAGAAGCTGATGTTAGTTGTTTCATTATTATTTCTTAGACCTGATATGATGATGATGATTGGTTGAAGGCTTGTAGCCGCTTCCTGTTAAAGGACAAGCTGTTCACCTGATGACGGTAAACAGGTGACTGGAATCAAAACTTTGCCAATAAATAAGGGTTGTTAAAATACCTGAATTTTAACCTGAGACAAAATACTAGAAAAAAAACAACTATTTAGATACCTCTTCCGTTACCATGGCAACAAAAATAGAAGCCCTCGACACTCAATACTGGGTAATGTCTTGTTTTCAAATACACAAAACTGCAAGCAAACTCCTGCACAGTCTAAATTGAGCAAACACTTTGGCAACGCTTCGGTACAGAAATTGCAGAAGTATTTATACGGTGCTCTGTGACTGAAGATCTTTACTTTTTTTTTTTAAAGGTTTGGTCCCTTTTTATACTAATGACAATAAAAACAACAGAGATTGTATCATTTAACAACACTTGGTAGCAAACAGAATCAAAGTCGAACATTTCCACAACCGTACAACACATTTATTTTGGCAAGTTAGACCTTGTGCAAGAGTTTGCATGCAACTTTCTGATGAACTAATTTCTCTTAGACGTACCTGTCTTTGAAATAGATCATCAAAACGTAAAAAAAACATGAAAAAAAAACATGAACCTATTGAGCCTGTAGTCTTTTATTGCAAATACTTACGTCAGTCAAATGTTGCAGACTAGTTCTTAGCTGTCTGTAGACAAACAAAGTTCCAGAGTTGATCCAGATCTAAAAGCTTTGACAATGGCGTCTGAAGACATTACAGCCACTTCAGGAAAGACAGTAAGTTGTATAGTTATCTGACAGGAAGGGTATGACCCTAAAACTATACAACCTACTACCTCACCCCAAAGGACAGTCAGTTTAAATAACAAAGTCGTCTCAGGTCCCCGTTCAGGCAGGTAATCCGCTTTGACACACCTCGGTGAACACAAAACAGCGGTTATGATTCTCAGAAACACAAACACACACACATGCCAATCTCTCCTCTGGGACACCGGTGTGACAGGACATTTTGTGTTCTGAACACAATGACACAGCCAGGTCAGCCGGTTCATGGCTCAGGCTGAGGAGGGAGGATTCAATAGATTCCATAAGGTGCATACGCCCCAAACAAATATCACAGCCATTAGATTTTCATATTCAAATCTGAGCTGTACATAACAGGAAGAGTACTGTGACATCCTAATAAAATTCTGAGAACTATTAACATGCAATGTTTCGCATGTTATATACCATTTAAAATAGGCTCAATATGACGATGGCAAATGAAGCTGTTACAATTCAGCATTGGTTGTCAAAAGCAAACAAACATGAATTAAAATGATCACTTTTTTTTCTGCTCTTCATTCTGTTTTACAGTTTATTATGATTATTTATTTATTTCCCCGTTACGTACAATATTTGCTTGTAACTTTGACTCTTTTGACCTCTCAAAATGTTATGAATATTACAATATTGGATCAAATAAGTATTTCTTCAGTGGTACACTGAGGAGGAGCTGTTTGTAGAATACAACTGTGTTTCCTACATCTAAGCATTACTTTGACAATAAAAAAGATTGAAAATACCCCCGCCCCCCCAAGCTTCCCCTCGGCTCTCCTTTCTTTTTCTGTCCCGTTTGCGTGGGTTGGAGAGGAGAGTGTTAACGTAAGTGACCTAGTGTTGACGGAGAGCGAGCTAAAGCTAGCTCATATCCTGGTCCCCATGTGTGGAGCAGAGGTGCTGCAGCTGCTGCTGATGTTAATGTTTCTCACCTGCTCTGAAACACACAGCAAAGGAGGGGGGGGGGGCACACACATCATTTTCCTTCCTTCCTCCATTAGGGTCTCAGATGCCCGTCAGGTGGCCCTGCCTGGAAATCTCCAAGGAGGAAAATCTGTCACGTCTGCAAAAAACAAACAAATACATGGAAGATTTTTTTTAATTCTTGGATGGAAACATATAACCCAGGTTGGCTTACAATCAATGCATGTGGTTATGTGTATTAACTACACTTTGAAGTAGTTCTGTTCAGCTCATACTCGTGTCTACTATGAGAAAACACACCATCCTGCATGTTAAACTGTTTCACAATCTGCAGCACAAAGTCATATCAGGGTGATCTTTGGCAGCACGTACGTACGTACGTAGCTCTACAGTAATATTATTCCATCTGTGAGGACACAACACATGTACAGAATGGTATGTCTTGAGCAGAGAGGCCCCATTGTGTCTACTCAGCGGTGAGTTGCATTATTCAACACTGCTGTACTTACACCACAGCAGTGGATGAGTGGATTGTAAGTATGCACAAGCACACACACACCCTTACTGGTAAATAGACACACAGGGAGAAATACAGGCACTGCAGACAGAGACACACGGACAGAAGGTATAAGGCAACCTACAGAGTGCATACACATACTGTAGGTAGAGAAAGAAACACCAAGCACCACAAGGTGAGCAAACTGTACAGGGACTCCATGACTTTCTAATAGCTTTCATTTAACGCTTATCAGTGCCAAGAACAAATGTACTAATGGCACGTTTGGATAACTGTTTTTTTACATCCTGACTTTACCCAGACCTTTCTCCTGCCAGCCCTCTAGTAAAATGTCCACGTGAAGCCTGGGTGAGCTGATGTGTGAACTCAGCAGGAAATATTCAGGAAACTTCCCCGCGAGTGAGCATGTGGGGTTGTTGACATTTATTTCACGTCACCAGGGGAGCGACTGGTGTGACTGTTGTGCACATAATAAAAGCAGCTTCATACTATGTTTTGTCAGCCAGTGTGTTTATTTTCCACTCTTTACTTGATAGTAGTAGGACTTTGCTTTTTTTCCGCCATCTTTGATGCCTTAAAAACAGCCCCCTCTTCACGCTGTAAGGGACAAGTGTGAATAACAACATGGAACATTTCAGGGACAGGCTGTCCAGAAATTCTCAGCAGTGCATGTTTGAAAAAGAGCTCATAAGTACCTCATAAGGTACAGTAACGACATGGACACGACTTTCTGCACTGCACAGTTCATATCACAGTCTCTATTCCCGCTGAGCAGCCCTGCACAAGAGCTCAGCAATGTGGGTTCCAGACTTCATAAGGTAAGGTCAGGCACAGTGTCCTCTCATGCTGCTGACTGGACATACTTCAATCTAATATAGTAGATGGCTCTGGGGTCCTGACCAGCAGACTGCATGGCCAGGACAGATATTGCTTTCAAGTGAAGCCAACGGCTATCATCCAGTGACAGGGAAGTATTCACACTCACACCCACACAGACACACACACACACACACACACACACACACACACACACACACACACACACACACACACACACACACACACACACACACACACACACACACACACACACACACACACACACACACACACACACACACACACACACACACACACACACACACACACACAGCAGAGAAGCAGTACTGTATGCAACGCAAGCAAACACATCCACACAGACATGAACTCTTGTGCACGTTAAGGCCTCTTTATACAGTTATGCAATACCATTTTAAACCCTCATTTACTAACAGATCATCCACCTAAAAGAATTTAGCCTTCTTAAAATTGTGCAGACTCAGCAAACACTTGAAAGCACAGCGTCTGTAACTGATACACTGCTCAGCCTCGCACCTCCATTAGCTGTTTAGAAGGTCTCGAGGTGCAAAGTCCTTCTTTCTGCACCTCATCATCTCATAATGTCACACTCACACAGTAGGACATGCACAGACAAACACATGTATACACAACACACAAAAGCACACACACACACAAGAATATGTTTCAATGGCATGCCCACATGCACACACATTCACACACAAACATGGAAGAAATACCCTTCATTGTGGGGGAGGGGGGTGAAGGCAAAACATGAAATTCATTTGCCACATCACTTTTTCACACAGCGTTCACGCTTGAAGGCACACACTGCTTAAAGAGCCACTTTAATTCAATCACACTTCAGCCTAAGTGCTACAGAGGCATCAATCAATACTGAAGCTGACTTTCACTGATAGTAAGATGGAGTGGAGTGCTGTAACCTTGTAACAGGATCTTTAGGATTGTGGTTGTCTGTGGTCACTCAGAGCAGCGGAAAATTCTGAAAAAAAGAAGCATGCACTGTTCAAAGAGCATGCATCCCCAATGTCTTTTGATTTTTACTTTGAACACAGAAAAGAAGAAAAAAAAAAGAACTACAAGCAAGCATAGTGACAAACCTAATGCAAAAGAAACTTTTAGTTAACTCAATTTACATGCCAAAATAGAAGTGGAAGGAAGTATAAACTTATAAAAGGTAAGTACACTTCTATCACATTTGGTGTTTTGAGTTGAACAGATTTAATATCTATATCAATTAATATGTTTAAAAAAAAAAAAGACTGGATGAGAACATCAGAAAATGAAACAAAGCTCATTATTCACAACTGAAGTAATTATGCACATCCACTGACTGTCGAATTAATGACCCAACCAATATGTAAGGTTTTATATTTACAGTGCAAACCTTTGTAATCAGACATGTGGCTGTAACACAGGTCAGGCTATTTTAAAATTTCAAGAACAGGACGTTTGCATCAAATGCCCACTTAGATGTTTGGTTCACTTATTCAGTTTCTGATATGTTTCCTAATTTTGCCAAATTGGCCGTTAATTTTTACATTATATATATATACATACATATATATATATATATATATTACTAAAGGTTTCTTGTTCATTTGATGGAACCACACATTGATATTCCCGAATGGACTGGAAGGCATTGGTACCAACCCCCCGTTTTAAAATCGGCACTGATAAAGAAAAATGTATGTACCAATGCAAAGGATGTGCCCACTTACGCTCACACTTCATAAAAGCATTTTAACCTGGAGAGTTGATGAATTTGTCTTTCTGTTGGCTGAGACCTGTTGATGCTATATAAATCTACATAAATACGTCAGTATTCATGCACAGTATATTTTCATTTGTCCTCCTGTTGGATCCCATGTGTGGATTCACTTATATTATGAATTTAGTTATAGAAATAGACAGTTCTGTGTTATCCTCCCTCGTCTATATACCTCTACATATCTGCCTGCTATAAGTACAGTGTTGTCTGGGTGCAGACAGAAGGAATCCAGATAGACATGGTGGAGCATTTATAAAGAGAAGCATGGCTTCTGTGCCCCCCTGACAGCAACACAGCAGGTATGACCCATCTATTTATACCAGGGCCAGGGGAGAGGCAGCGGCGAGAGAAAAGGGGGGAGTGTACAGGAGCAGAGGGATGGGGGGAGGTGGGGGGGTGCAGCATGGGCAGGTCCTGTTACACATGCCAGGGGGGACGGCTGGGGCAAGCCGCTGGGGGATTCTGCTCAAAGTCAGACAGGCTGACCTCGCCGTCACCTCTGCAGGAGGCAGATACCGAGCTCGCAGACCTCGTGCAGAAGAGTGTTTGAATGTAAGTACAGAATATACCTATATGGGCCAAAGCATGCGGCGCCACAGGTAGTGCATGCATACTGTATACATTTGTGTACGTGTAAAAAATGATTCATGCATGATGGAGTGTGTATGTACTATCGCCTACATGCATAAAATGTGCTTCTGCCTGTCTGCCTATGAGATGAACAGGCCCCGCTGACCCCCCCCAACCCCCATTCATCCTCCTGCAGAACCATAAACATGCCAGGTGAAGCCAGCTGGATTAGGCAGAATGAGCTGAGCCTTTTGCCCCCCCCCCCACTCCCCGACTGGCCCAATCCTTAGAGGTAAAAAAAAAAAAAAATGACCCCAATCATTGTAATGATAGGGAATGCAGCAGGGGTCGCCCAGACCACTCAGGCCAACCTTACCAGCTGCTTCTCATATCTCACACACATAGTATACAGTCACATGTGCATAGAGAAACATACACTTGCATGGTAACACTGTGGGATGCACAGCAGGGCGCAAAGAAGGGCGCAGGCCTATAGAAAGTTTTACCCAGGAACAACTTTTTGCAAGACACCTTTAAACATAATTCATCTCACAGTTCAGATCACTGTTTCCGTTAATGGCTGGAAATGCCCAAAAGGCACTGAGATCATCGTCAATGTCTGCAATGCAATTAATCACACTATATTAATAACTCGGGTAGACAGAGATAAGTTTGAAAATTGTAGAATTTCCCTTTAAACTGATGATTAATGGGAGTCCATATAGGAGTTTCAATTGTAGTTTTGTTTTTCTTTGCTTTGCACATTAACATTATTGAAAGTTGTACACTGAGGCCTTCTTCTTTATCAGCAGATCTTTGCACATGTCTGAACGGCATTTTATGTTTTAACTAGAGGCAGGAAAAACTAATCTGTGTCTTGATCAGATGTATTTAGTGGAACCAGCCTACAGCCCGTGGCTGCTGCTTGACTTTAGGGTTATAAGGTTCATAGCCTAAAAAAAAGAGAAGTGATCAAATAGATGTTTTGTATTCATTACTTCAAGGAAACATTCGTTTACTACTAAGTAGTAAACGAAGTTAATCGTTTTCTTGCAGTAAAAAGTTAGAATTTCTTTGTTTTAAGGAAATCTATACAAAATGTTTTTTTTTTAACAAGTCTTCACATTTTTTTTCATCTGGGTGTATTGTGATATTTTCCCTCAATGCACTATGCATCAAATATTGTGAACATTTTGCACATGTAGCGATTGAGTCTTCTCTTTCTTTGTGTCCTCCAGCTAATAGAAGCTGCTTAGATGTGCATTGCCATGTGGCTGCTGGTGACCTCTAGGGCCCCCATCTATTAAGAGAAGTCCATAGTCCTGACACGTCTGCATGCCCAGCTCTGCTAAAGCCTGCCTGCAGGGCCCCTTTCAGCTTGGGCAGTGCCCCATCGAGCTGCATCTGTCGCCAGCTATATTTAGAGGGTGGGACAAATACCTTTCTGCCTGGATATGAACTTCAGCTGACGGACAGAGGACCAGAGCAGGCAGACAGGGATCTGTACAGTTTGAGACCTTGAAGAGCATGTTTCCCCCAGGCTACAGCTGCCTGTAGTCCGCCTCTCTACAGTGGTTAGCAGTTACAGCTGACAGCTAGGGCTGTAAATACTGCAAAGTTAGCATTAAAGCAAAGTTAACAGCGGTTATTACTGCCAGCGCTTATAGTTCCAGGACTACAGCCAGAACAACATGAAGAATATACAGTAATGTACTCTGGTAAAGACATTCAATACTTCTCCTTATGTAATAAATAGATTAATTATAGGTTCAGTTTCTGTGGATCTGAATCCCCTTTTAAATATCACTACATTTCTGTCTATAAGCGTGGATGTGTGGCAGTGCCAGCGAGGCAGCCAGTGTGTGATATGTGACCATGTTGCAGGGCCATCTGCTCTTTATAACCATAAACAAACGCAGGCAGGCCAGCCTCACAGTATCACTTCCAAGGGGTCTAAGCCAGGGAAATGTATTCATGCTCCGGTCTCTGGGTAGATGCTGAAGAGATATGCCCCAGAAACAAGTTACGGTTATGCAATAGCATTCATAATTCATTCCACAAACACAATATGGAGGCTGCTCTGCCCCGTGTGCAAACACATGGCCAGATTCAGGAGCGGGGTGCCAAAGGGGAGAGAGTGAATTCTGGACTGTAAGTGAAGCCATTGACTGTCTGTCTGCCCGTCTCAATGACAGTTTGACTGTGACAGGCCTAAATAGGCCAGGTCTGCCTGCTGGAAGGACCTCTGCTATATTTTGCACCTAGAATCTCAAACAGTTACATATGTGCTGTTTTCCAATATGTCTGCCTCACACTTTTGATCTCCATCATTGATCTATACTAATTAACAAGGTAAAAACATACATGCGTCAAAACTCATTTATGGAACCCTGACAGGCCGATGGTTTGGTGGCTTTGTGGGTCAGTAAGTGCAGAAATCAGTGCATCATAAATAAGCAAATTAACTGTTGCATAATGTGAGCGTGTTCAACAGAGGAATGTAGGACTATTAGAATGTAAAGTTGTGTAAAGTAATCTGGGCAGATGGATTTATTCTGATATAATGTTTGCATTGAAATGGAACTGTTTGTCAAATGACATTTAAATTAAAGTACAACTCTTTAAAGGTCAGCTCTTTAACCACTTGTATTTCTTTTTCTTTCTAATATCGTTTGTACAATATGTTTGCTTTTTAAGGAGGTGTTCATACATCCAACTATCTCAAGAAGTAGGTGTAGAAGTAGGTAAAATCACAACGTTTTGTTCCCTCTGAACCTTTGCCAAGAGTGAACACATTTGAAAAAAGGTTCTGAGGGATTTTGTGCGGGATTTTTTTTCTTTTTCAAGTAAAATATTTTTGCAACATGCTGTGACAATTTGCAGTTTTCTGTACATTGAAGATGTAAGTGTCGAAAAACAAGTCAAGCATATAATTACAACCGTGCAGTTATATAATTATGAGCATATCATGAACCAACCATATAATTTATACACAATTCAGTGTTCAGAAGTATTCTTAAAAGCCTTTTTCCATGAACTGTAAATGTGCTGGATAATGGCAGAGAGTCACCGTGCGGGGTGCAGGTAGCGTAGTGGTTAGTGCACCCACGCCCACCCAATGTACGGAGGCTTTAGTCCTCAAAGCGGGCGGCCCAGGTCATTTCCCACACTCTCTCTCTTTCTCTCTCTCCCTGAGTTTAAAACAAAGAAAGTCACCGTGGAACAGATACATATTGGGTTGTTAAACTCCAGACGTTTCAATAAAACATCATTTTTAATGAGTGAATGAAGTGAATACCACACTAATGAAAAACAATAGTCCTCTTTTCCCTGATTTCTATTTAAGTTTGAATGCCAAAATGCCCATGGAGGATTTTTTGTGACTTCAGATCAGTTAAGCAACAGGCTGATCAAGTGTAAAAAAGCAGCAGAAGCAGACACCTACAGTACCAGAGGCTGGATTTAATATCTGTCGTCTTCAGATGAGAGCAGGATTTTAATAACATCTGCACATGTAATCAAATGCCTGGCACATACTGGATTCCAGAGCGGCAGCAGGCGGCTCGCTACAGTAGCTGGAGGTTGTAGGGTGGGGCCCGGGGTTACTAAGTGCATATGATTCACGCACAGTTGGGGCTCAGGCTACAGCTAACAGAGTGCTGTGGTTAGGTTGGGTTGCAATTGGGGGGGGGGGGGGGGCTTGTGAGTGGTGTGGAGGAGAGAGGGAGGGAGGGTGGAAGGGGGTCATGCAGCTGCGGGCCCTGCGAGCACATTGGCCCCCGATGAAGAAAAAAAAAGAAACCGTTGATGGCGTCCACCCAGGGTCAGCCCTCTGAGATGAAGAGCAGCGAAAGATCCGGAGAGTGAGGATGCAGTCGGTCCGCAACAAGTCGGGAAATGTGAAGTTTTCTATCGTCAGTATCGTGTGTCTCCATTTCCCTTTCATTTTCTCCAGCGCCCAGTCGCTCCCTCTTCTCCTCTCCCACTTTCCTCTGTCCCTCTCATTTCGCTACCTGACTACTTTGGCAGTGATTCACAAAATGGCGGCGGGGAGCCTGGAGCCTGGGAGGCAGAGAGAGTGGAAGCCATTTTCTCACAGATACAGAACCCCAGCATGGAGAAGTCAAGACTCCACTTGCCGTAGGGGGGGTGGGTGGGGGTGGGTGGGGGTGGGAACAATTAAGATTTCACCCGTTATTCTCTAAAGATCATTTATTGTTTTGTTTTCGCATTGCACTAACAAGCCATTCTGACCACTTGGCCTTTCAAATGGGATAAAGACACAATACACAGCCATTATGGTTTAATCCACTGCAGGCTCACATTGTATTAAGTGTCAGAGAGAGGAAGGAATATACGTAGATGGAGCCGTTAAATAGAATGTGTATTACAGATGTCTAATTACAGATTTCATCTCATTAAATGAAACCACATTACAAAACATCGTTAAATAACAGCACATTAAATGTATGATACATTATGGTACTTACGATGCAGCTGTTATCATCAGCCAATCTGTCTGTCTGTGATTTCACTTGTTGGTCGAATTGTTTTGTCCCTGTGGCCGAAGTCAAACCCATCTCACTGCCTACGAGAGAGATAGAGAGAGAGAGAGCGAGGGAGAGAGACAGAGAGTGAGAACTGAGACATTCACAGGGAAAGTAACAGACAACAATAGAGAGAAGCAGAAAACAGAGAGGGTGATCATCTGCAGAGCCGCCAGCAGCAGCAGCAGCAGCAGCAGCAGAGGGCTGCAGCGTCTCATCTCTGTTTGCCTGTTTACTAATAAGCTCACCCCACGGTCTCGCCTGGCCACGGAAACTCATTAGTGCAACATGTAACATGCCGCACCCTCTCTTTACCGACCTGTACAGCAGCCAACTCACTCTGCCACATGCTCACCCAACACCAACACACGAGGCCTTGGCCTTCGCACCCACTCGCTGCATAACGTGCAAAAAAAAACCCACTCTGGCATGCTGAACGGCGGGTGTCATGTGCGTGGGCAACGTGGTGCATATGCGTGTGCTTGTGAGCGTCATAAGCGGTTTTTTTGGGGTTTTTTTCCCCCTGATCATGCGGCACAGTATGTTCGCGTTCACACATGTATAGACTGCGCTGCGTTAATGTTCGAGGCTGCTTTTGACACCTGCCCGTGTCGCTCTGCGCACAAATGTGGGCGCGTGAGGCACGGACCGTTGTGTTGAGGTGAAATGAAAAGGAAATCAAACGCAGCAAATGAAATCTAAGGAAGCTGAAAAATACAGAAAGGCGATAGAGAAAATGTGAGGAGGATTTATTTTTTTTTGTCCTTCTGCAGACCAAGGGAGGACGCAGCCAATTACAGGCCTCCGCTCAGTATGGCGGTGGCTGATGAAGGGTGATAATTCTGTACAAGGACGCTAATTGCAGCGCAGGACACTGCCTTGGTGGGGAACGGTCTTTTATATACTGTTTTTAACGTTTGTAATTGCAGTGCAGAGCCTTGGAGTGCAGCCAGCACATGTTTACGGGCTCATGAGTAACCCAACTCCTCCAGCCCGTGGAGGGAGATTCATGTCCGAGCTGTGCACTCGCTGCACTCTGTGTGTGGGTGTGTGTGTGTGTGTGTGTGTGTGTGTGTGTGTGTGTGTGTGTTGTTTGTGTGTGTATGCATGTTGATGACTCATGACGCCTAGGCGAGTATGTTCAGAGGGGATAGTATCAAACATTTTAGTGAGTAACCACGACGGAATAGCTGCAAGTAGAGTTCTGCATGTCAATTTCAACACACATACATTAAAAGTACAACAGTATTACAAAATGTTTTCTTTGGATTATTCAAGCTGAAATTTGGACGTGTTGTCTTTGGTGATAAATCATGGAATACTATCACATAACAGTGTAAACAGGAGGGCCCTGAATATATGACTGAACTACACTGAAAGTGAGAGCTACAGTTGTAGAAACTGCAGTCAAATCAGTCAAAGAAAAACATAGGTGATGATATATCAAAACCCACACAGGATATTTAATTTTTCCGTACAGAAATAGGAAACCCAAAGACACATCTGAGCCAGCGAATCACTGAATGTAGCCAATATAACTCCGTTCCACGCAGATAAACAGTGAGAACGAGATGAGAGGCGGGGGTTAGGATTTACAGTATTTTGATAGACGAAGAGTTGCAGGCGAGGCCTTTTCAACACTCCTAACTCCGACTCCGAGTGGAACAATCCTGCTGATCGTGCAGTTTTTTTTTTTTTTTCTATGACTAAAATTGCCTTGGCGACAGCAGAGACCAAAAAAGCTGAAGAGAAATATATGAGCACTGGAAAAGAAAAGTTGAGTGGGCGCAGCTCCTCGGCGTTATCTGGAATATCGCTTTGCCTGGCAGGTACATAAAACAAGTATCTATGTGGATGATGTGTGCAGAGAGAGACACTCACGCAGGGATACTGCAGAGCATAAAAACTGAGTCTCTACAACACACTGAACACGCCAAGTGTTTAGAAGCAAAGAAAACTTCAAAATGATTTTGAAAGATCTGGTTGCTCGGAAGAAACTTCAGAAAATCCCTTCAGAATGTTTATTTAAATACTAAGTATTTTGTAATAGAATTGTTGCGCGGTAAACATGAAGGACCAAAGGACTCGGGTAAATAAAGTCTTTAAAAAAGTACACCATGACCTCAGCCAAAGGGCCCATAATGCACTGCAACCAGGTGATAGCTGCAGGTTTTGATCCAGGACGTCAAAGAGGAAGGAAAATCTGCATCATCTGTCATCCTTTTGAAACTCTCCCCTGGTCCAATATTATGTCATTACGACTATGCTCAGCGTCTCTGTGGAGTCGCTGTGGTTTTGAGGATAAATCACATGTGACACTCCAAGCTGACGTCCTGATTAATACGGGGAGAATAAAATGGCCCCCCGATTCTCAGCAGTAGACGCGATGAAGGAATAATGGCTTCTGTGTATGGACAGAGAAGTGAGGGAAAGCAGGTTCAGGGGCTTTGCTGTGTGTGTGTGTGTGTGTGTGTGTGTGTGTGTGTGTGTGTTTTTTGTCCAGCCTCTCTCCTCTGTTTTCAGGCCTGGCCTACTTCCTACTGTACTGTACTGACGAGCTGACCCTGTATGAGAGCAACACGGCCTGTAGTGGCCACTGTGGATCCACTCATCTGCTCTCCCACACTCACAGAACATGAGGGCAAAGAGGGGGCCTGGGGAGATCCTACCACGGAGACCCGTACTAGACGGACTGCAGTTCACCTCGAATGGGTTTTGAACAGCTTAATCCTGCTCACTGAAGACTGATGAATTAAAGCTGAAAGCAGATGAGACTTTGCTTCTGTGAGATATACACAATTTTCCCCACAGGTTTTTTTTTTTTTTTTGCAAAGTGGACTGCACCCTTTACGTGTGCCAGGCTTACAAAGTGGGACATTTCAATCCTGATCCATTTCCACAAGCGGTGATGACCTGCTCATGCTAACCTGCTGCATGCTACGTTCCACCACTGTTGATCAGTAAATATTAACGACTTTTATTTTATACCCTATTAACTTATCCTCCACATGCGTTATATATCACTGCAGATTTTCTTTTCAGTGGTTGACATAAAGGAAATGAGTGTTTAATTCATTTAATTAGAAAAATCTGAGCAGGAACTACAAAATGTTCGTTTTATACGTGCAAACATAATTACTACCTAAACAATATCATGTTTAAAATGATTTTTTTTTTACGTTTCCAAGGTGATGCATTAAGTATGCTCTTCATTGAATTCTAAAGAAACATGGATTGGGTGATGTGTCTGTTTCTGATAAAAGCTTAAAGTTCCATCTTTAAATGTCTACATTTCTAATCTTTTGGCCTTGAGCAGCAATACTTGTGTCTCATGTTCAGGCAAAAAAAAAAACAACAACCAAAAAAACGTATTTCTTTGACTTTAAAATCCAATTGAAATCCAATTTATCGAAATTAAAAGAATACATAAGCGTCAGGGATTAAATATACAGAAAATAAAAAGCTAGTAGATTGGAGGCAGCACAAAATCCTCCTGCAGGACTACACACATGCATTTGTAGAACATGCAGCACAGTCAGGACTGTATGTCAATCAAAACCCTGAGCGTGACATGCTGGATCATTTATGTCCCTAAAACAGCACACTGGGACCGTTTTTAGCAGGAGAAATAAAAGAGGCTGGGTTCCTATGGCAGACAAACTATATTTACAGCGAGTGCTCACTTGGCCCCCATTCACCACTCCAATCTGGATTTCATATTAGCCAGGAGGAAATTGGACGGAATTCACAACATCACAGCGCGCTCATAAATGAAAGAAAATCACATAATCTTAAATACTGATTTATCCACTTAACAAATGAAGCAGTGTATTGGTGGCTTATGGCTGTGTTGTACTGGTGGGTGACTCACTGCGCTGGTAAGAATACACTGAGCACTGGCACATGACCTAAACCACACACTCACACTTCAAAAGTATCTGGCAGAATTACTCAGATCTGCAGACATACAGCAGTCTATGCAGAGCTGATACACCACACATGACCATATTAATCTAGAGGCGGGGGGAAGGGGATTTCTAGAAAGCAAAAATAATCCCTTTTTATTGCCGTTTAGATCACACGATGAATCAACAATTTCACTCATTTAGTTTGAAATTGTCTCATATATGTTCTGTGATTTAAGTTTTTTTTCCTTCTATTTTCAGAACAAATTTGCTCCTTTAAACTTAAAGAAGTCCAGCAGTGGTGCTCGGGTGTGCTTTTTTTTTAACATGAGTCTAAAGTATGAAGAGTTAATTATGAGGTAAAAAATAAACGCTGTGAATTGTAGATTGAGATAATTCGAAAAATAAATGCAATAAAGAGTGTGACATCGCATCAAATGATAAATAATAATAACCACATCGTTAGTACATTTTGTATTCAAATACGAAAAAAAAGCAAAAATAGAAATAATGCCAATATTTAGAATTTCTTTGAATAAAAATCTTCAGTGTGAATAATCCAGCTAGCAAGTTATGGAAACACACACATGCATCTTCTTACACACACACACACACACACACACGCATCTTCTTTCACTCACACACACACGCACATGAACACCCAGAGCATTTTCATTGTTTTCTGTGGCCTCACCAAGATGATCTGTTTATAAAAATATAAATTAATCTCATCATAAACTGTATTTATATTTAGTTTATATTTCTCTGGTATATAACCCGATACACTCCACAATCTTCATTAACAACACTTTTTCTCTCCCTCTAAAGTTTATGACACAACTTTTATAAGTTCTGATAAGAGTTCAGTCTTAAAATAAACCTGATGGGATTTAAATATTCTGTGGTTTTTTTAAATGTTCACATGAACTATAATTCATTTTAAATTAAATCTCAGATATGTCTAAATGGAAAACTAGTTTTACAAAGCACATTCAAAAATAACCTTTGTGCGAAAGACAAAGAAAAAATTAGCTTTTGTACAAACCTCAATCACATTAACAATAATTTCTTTAATTCTTTTGAAACTCTTAAGAGCTGTCGTTTTTGAAACAGGGTTAGTGCTAATAAAAGCAACAAAATCTTATGAGGTGTTTTCATGTCGAATTCTTTTCCTTTTCTACTTTTTGAACCTATTCGCTTTTGAAAGCACATTATGAAGGAAACGCTGGTTTAATATACAATTTCATTTAATAATGAATTCACCACTCAAGTCCGAGGCCGAGGTCAAGTTCAAGTTCAAGAACATGTCGTCCAAGTTCTGGCCCGCTGTTTCATTCAGCTCAGCTCATCACAAACTAAGGACAAATATTTATAAATATATAATCCCCCCGTAAAGTTAATTAAATATACTTAAAAAATCTACCAAAGAAGCACTTTTAACCGTTTTTTTAAAAACACACCAGATCATGAGAACACACACACACACACACAAACACACACACACACACACACACACACACTTACAAGGCAGAAAAGAAAACAAAAATAAAAACGTGTTCACAATTAAAGAAAGAGTAATCATCCTCCATGAGGTCATTCATGATATTATACATATGAAGACGTTTGTTTGATTGTGTACATTTTTCCTTTCTGTGTGTGTGTGTGTGTGTGTGTGTGTGTGTGTGTGTGTGTGTGTGTGTGTGTGTGTGTGTGTGTGTGTCCTGTTATTGTCTCTGCTAACTGTAAAGCTTTAGTATATCTAAAGTTGGACTCTAAACGTCTCACTGTGGGCTGAACCAGGCTGCCGGTTCGTACAGGTATAGACTTTTACACGGAGAGTAAATCGTGCAGCCCCTCAGCAGCCGGCCATCTGCCTTCTCTACATGCAACCTTCCCCTGGACTCCTGCCACCCACTGCCAACAGGGCCTGAGGGGTGGAGCAGTGTGATACTCTGCCAGCCAAAAACCATGTGTCCACTGCTGGTTAGGCACAGCTTATATTCATATGACTGAACATAATCACCTGTGTATGGAAAAGGTCGATGTAGATCCTGAATCATGTTAAAACAAAAGTTTGGCTTTACCCATCAAAGAAACTCACTTTCTTTTTTCTACACACCCTGACGACGGGGTGAAAAATGTTGGAAAATGTATAAAAGCAAGAGCACAAAAAGACCAAGAGTTCAACTTTTTTTCAGGTTAAAAAAAGGCAAATTAATTGTTATAAATAGTCCTAGCAGTTTTAATTAACTACCTCTTTTTCTTTTGCATCCAGCATATTTTACTTATGAATTAACGTTTACGTTTACAGACAAAGAAGAAAGATTGCCACAAAAAAAGAACAATTCATGCCAAATCACAGATCTATATCTAGTGTGTTTAAGGGAATGCTTTAAGACTGCGAACACATCTTGCTTCTTTGAATAAGAGAATGTTTTTTCTGTTCATCGATATCATTACCAAAGCAAGCTGAGGAGTATTTTCAGAAACTGAAATTTAACCACGCAAAAAACATAAATCTTGTGAAAACCTGTCTTCAAAGAAATACAACAAACAAGAAACGACGTGATGACCATTACAATGAGGTGTTTGAAAGCAAAGTGCCTGAAATTGGGAAAGCGATGAACTGCTTTAAATTTATTTGAGATTTCGTCTTCTTGCAAAAAACGCGATCTTAACGATTAGAACGCAAAAAACTTTAAATTTGAAAAGACATAAAGAAATATAGAGTATTCTCGTAGAAAAACAGCTCATGGTCGAGCTTTATGCAAACATTCTAAAGATCAAAATGCTCAGAACACGTACGTCTCTTCATACAGCACACAGTAAGCCCGCACCACATCACTCACATGAAATACCTCCACAATCGAGGCCTTCCACTCATCCACTGATTACCATCAAGCAGGATTATCCAGGCTGCAATCAAACTGCTATTAATAACTTTTGGTTTTGCATTGCTAAAAATGACAAAAAGGGTTTTGAGAAGTTAACGCAGAGCTAAAAAGTTAAGAAAAAAAACGCTTGGTGGCCTTTGTATGTGTTGTGCTCCTGAACTATATGCGCATGTACGGTTTTATATCAGATGTATTAATGTGCGCTCTGAGTGAAAAAGAAACTTTGATGAAGAAGAATTGCGTCAATGTTTAATTACATATATTTGGAAAAACATAAAGATAGATGTTCGTTAAAACCGTGCACACAAATAAAGGCTGATTTTACTCACCAAATTTTAGATCAAAGATGGTAAATGTCCGGCCGGGACAAGAAACTTGCCACTTCTTTCTGCTGTGTTCCACTTCTCTGTTAAGAAGAGGAGAAAGCTCCCACTCGGTGTTTCTTGTAAGACCCAGTGATTTAACTCAGACTGTCTCCTCCACAGCTCAGCCTCAGTCCCAACTCCAGCTTCAGTCCCAGCCTCAATCTCAGCTCCAGACTCTCTCTCTCTCTCTCTCTCTCTCTCTCTCTCTCTCTCTCTCTCTCCCCTCTCTCTCTCTTTCTCTCTCTCTCTCTCTCTCTCTCTCTTTCAGCCCAGCCAGTCTGAGCCTCGAGCTCGGGGCTGCACGGCTCGCCTGCCACCAGCTACGTCCACGTCTGCTGAGGCCTGAAACAATAGGAGGCCATGAGGCTGTCTGCAGAGCTCCAGCTCAGCCGGTCTGCTAGTTAACAAGTCTCTGAATGAGGAATGTTAGCAAACAGACAAATAGCATGTCTGTTGCATGCAAATAGCACAACCAGTCCAGTCACAGCCTCGGCTGGGCGCATGAATAATGCAGCAGTCTATATGCTGCTCTCACACATTACTCCCTCACTCTTACAGAATGAAATGCCTTCACTAGAATTAGTGTGGCAAAGTGTTCATACCTCTGCCTCACCAGCGGCCTAGGTCAGAGATATTAGATTATAAACTTCATACTAACATGATATAATCGCACAAAGTGTCGATGTAGAAACATATCATGCAGGAATAACGCCGAAACTCCGCCGAAACTGTTCGAAATGTCGCAAAAATTACAAAATTTTGTCCTCTTTTTGCCTTTTAATGTCTTTTGTTTGCAGTTGGCACCTGTCCCAGATTGAGCTCCGGATCAGCACACCACTCAGTCTCCTTTTAGGAGAGCCAGTCAGTGTGAAAGAGAAAGAACAAGAGAGAGCGAGAGCCCGAGAAAGAGAGGGAAAGGACATGGAGAGGAAATAGAAGGAGAGACAGGGAGTAAAGACGAAGGAGGTGCTGTACTTCACACCAGTCTCTGGGGGTGATGAAGGACATGTCTTAAAAACACAGTGTGAAACGCTCAGACACTGGACGCATTCTCTGCTCATCATCCACAGTGGTCACTCGGACCACGAGCCCACCAAAGCAGGTTTCCCCAGCAAGAAATGGCGCCCCGACGCTCCAGGTGGAACAAGGCCCATCACATGGCAATACGCCTCTCTGACGAATTTCCGTCCCAAAAAAAAAAAAAAGAAGCGAAATAAAATAAATATAGCTAAAAAGCAAAGAGCCAGTGAAAAAATAGGAAGACGCAGTTCATTTTTAAAGAAAAATAACGGAGATCGGAAGAAAGAGCGGAAAAATCCAAAGTGATGCAAAAAAGAATGCGCCAAAAGTAAGAAAAGGCCCCTGAAAGCAACTTGTTGCCAGGTTTTGCAGAGCTGCTGTGCAGCTTGTTGGAGGCAGAGGGTTAAAATCCAGCAAGTAGTGAGTGAAAAAAGAAAAAGCTCCGTCTATGGAAGGGCGGGCTGTGGGGAGGCCCTGACTGTAGAAATAGCAGCAGACTTTTTTTTTTTTTCCCCTCGCAGAGCTGAAGTCTCCCCCTTGCGTGTGGCTGGAGCAGAAAGAGGGGAGCAAGCGAAGCCCAGGGAGAAAAATGAGAGAGAGAGAGAGAGGGAAGAGAGAGAGAGGGAGGGAGAGAGAGAGAGAGAGAGAGAGAGAGAGAGAGCGAGCGAGGGAGAGAGAAAAAGGAAGAGAGGAGGAGACAGCGAGCTCACATTGAAGGGGGGGAAATGCTCCGCTGATGATGAAATAGGAGGTGCGGTGGAGCGCGCGAACCAGTCACTTTTTCATCACATGTCCAACACGGCAAGAAACTGTATTTGCACTGGAGACATGGAGGGGGGGCGGGGGGTGAAGGGAGAGCACAAGATAGGTGGGAGACAGAGACACAGAAGGAAAGAGAGAGAGAGAGAGAGAGAGAGCGAGAGAGAGAGAGAGAGAGAGAGAGAGAGAGTGGGAGGGTGGAAAGCACTAAATGTGGGAGGGGTGGAGGAGGACACAGAAATCCACTCCTCTTGTAGTGTGCGCAGACTCAGTGCACACACCCACACGCCATACTGGGATACACTCTGCACTACCTCAGCTACTATATCAACTAGTGAAAAGAAAAGTTAGGAAAAAGAGAAACACAGCCATTCAGAGTGGACTTCCCTGCTGAAGGATCCTTGAAATATGCAACACTTCTGAGAGCCGGTTGAATTATTAACCTCATCTCTTACCGTAGCCGGGCTCGTGTCGCTGCTCCAGTCTTCGGAGCACGCTCTGAAAGGAGCACACACTCTCGGAGTGCATTAACTCTTTAGCCACATGACTAGAATGAATGCACAGAACGGACGGGTTGCACACACACACCACACACACACACACACACAGACACACACACACACAGACACACACACACACAGGAAAAAAGATAAGCATCCACACAGTGTTTATTTCAGTAACATGTGGCATAGAGCGCACAGCTAGGACCCTCCTCCTCGCCCCGGCTCTGTCACAAAGCGAGCTGCTGAAGGCTGCAGCTGAAACCTCGCAGCTATTTGGCACAAAGTCAAAAGGCTGATAAGCATTTTTGGGTGAGACTTTGCTGCTTTTTTTTTCCTAGAGGAAAAACAGCTGCCACTGCCGGGTAGAGCACACTCAAGGAAATGTTTTGAGAAAACCCCACAACATGCAGATCCGTCCTGCTTAAGAGCGAGCAGATTTAAATAAGAAGGAACAGTTAATCGAGGGGGGGTGGGGGGTGGTGGGGGGGAATGTGAACAGGATGGCTGTGTTTCCACCATCTTAGATTGTATTGATTATTCTTTGCTTAAACGTCTGTCTCCCTCACACACGCTAGCTCTCTTTCTCTCCCTCTCTGTCCCTCCCTCTCCTCTTTCTGCCTCTATTCTGCCACCTTCCCTACTCACCGATCAGCATTTGGCTTTTTCCATTTGTGGCAGATTACTGTAACGCTATTGTACAACAACTTCCTGCCTCTTTTGGCTGTGCTTCTTAAAAAAAAAAAAAAAAAAAAAAACAGAAACGGCACAGGCAGAGCATCGTGACTTGAACTTTTTTTCCATCTCGGCCTTGTACTGCAGGAGCACTGAAGGACAGAAAAGGAGGAAGGGGATATGTAAAGAGTGTTTTCTGTTACTGAGGAACTATTCTGAGTGCATTTCTGCTCTATAAAACTGCTGAGATGTAAAGAGGGGACTACATGCCTAGCAGAGACAATGAAAGAAAGAGAAAAAAAAAAAAAGGTGGGGTTTAAACTTTCTTACTTTTTACTTTGTGAGAACTTGGTGTTGCCTTCGGAGGAAACTGCGTTTTTGAGTGTCTAACATGGCCGCTTCTGCTTCAGGCTGCACAGTTTGTGAGGGCTGCTTTCATAGCACGGCCACCACCCTGATCCGCGCTGGCTCTCTCTCTCTCTCTCTCTCTCTCTCCCTCTCTTTCTCACTTCAGCAGCACAACGACTGGATTCTCCACAAAAACTATTCTCCCCTCTTGCACTTCTCTTTGCTCCACAGGTTTCATTACAAACACAGGTGGCAGTCAATGTGGAGGGGAAAAAATTCTAGCATTGTTTACATTACCAACTTTGTGCAGAGCAAAAAAAAAGAAAAAGAAAAAAGAAGTCTGCATATTCCTTCTCAGTCCTCCTTCTCCCTAAATGAGACCCGAACTCGGTTCAGGCGTCCACATTGGCAGCAGCTATAGAATCCTATTAGCAGGAGAGCAGCTGTACGTCACATCTCGCCATGCGTTTGAACCAATTGAGAAACCCATGACTTCATTGTGGAGTAAATGTATAAAACGGAGGTGTGTGTGTATGTTAGGAGAACCTAGTTGGGATTGTATGTCGGGATACATTAAGGGTCAGAGCATTTCAAGCAGCCGTTTTAAAAGGAGAGCAGGGTTTGTATTTATACTGTGTACGTGTGCAGACTGCACGCCGTGTGGCAACGAGTTCATTTAAGGTTACAGTTTCGGCCACAGAGCTCCTTAACATTACTCCTCTGATTCACCTCTCCGTAATTAATAATATTTTACATTTTACCATCAGAAATGACAACATCTTTTGACTGATGAGACCACGCACACTGAAAACAAACTGAACTATTCGCAATGAAATAAAGACAAAACCTTTCTCCACATTTTCTCTTTTTCAGTGTCTTACATTTCTTCTGGTTAAATGATCAGATCAGTGTTTGAAATCTTAAAACAGTGTGTGGTCCCTTTGCAAGAGAAAATGACGAGACGACAGAAAAAGCGACTGTTTTTTTTTTTTTTTTATCCGCAGACTTCATGACTGCAACATCTGTGTGATCCAGAATCGGTTAATCAGGCCTATTGATAACACCATGTGAAACAAAATGGCGGGCGGCGCCATGTTATAGACTCTCGTCGGCATCATTTGACATTTATTTTTAGAGACAAATAAAGCACCTTTAAACTTACTGACTCACTGAAATTTGTAACATTGCAATCTATTGAAATGAAAGATGTGACTCTAGAGATGTGACTCAAAGTTTAGCTTATGAAAATAAAATATAAAGAAGTTTCAACAATAAATACAGTTTAAGAATTATGTTTAAAAAACTGCAAAAAGTTACACATTCACTAAAAAAATAATGATTGCATACATGCATCCCATTTTTCTAATATGATAAAGTTCATGATGGTTAAAAAGAAAATCGGGGCCATGAAGAAACCTTCAGCCTCACACTGTACGAGTGCTGTGCTCTGCTGCGGTCAGGAGAACACACTGAACGCACATAGAAGTGTCAGTCATGGGCAAACACTCTGTGTTAGGGAACGTTCAGATGAGGAGACATAACAAGGACACATCAGTCACACGATGTGTTTCTTTGGTTTCTCTCTCTGACACCAGCAAACAGAGAGCTGCAGAGCTGCACAGGGTTAGAGAGCTGCAGACAGTCAGAGGGTTAGAGAGCTGCAGAGGGTCAGCGGGTAAGAGAGCTGCAGAGGGTCAGAGGGTTAGAGAGCTGCAGAGGGTCAGCGGGTTAGAGAGCTGCAGACAGTCAGAGGGTTAGAGAGCTGCAGAGGGTCAGCGGGTTAGAGAGCTGCAGACAGTCAGAGGGTTAGAGAGCTGCAGAGGGTCAGCGGGTTAGAGAGCTGCAGAGGGTCAGAGGGTTAGAGAGCTGCAGAGGGTCAGCGGGTTAGAGAGCTGCAGAGGGTCAGCGGGTTAGAGAGCTGCAGAGGGTCAGAGGGTTAGAGAGCTGCAGAGGGTCAGCGGGTTAGAGAGCTGCAGACGGTCAGAGGGTTAGAGAGCTGCAGAGGGTCAGCGGGTTAGAGAGCTGCAGAGGGTCAGCGGGTTAGAGAGCTGCAGAGGGTCAGCGGGTTAGAGAGCTGCAGAGGGTCAGCGGGTTAGAGAGCTGCAGACAGTCAGAGGGTTAGAGAGCTGCAGAGGGTCAGCGGGTTAGAGAGCTGCAGACAGTCAGCGGGTTAGAGAGCTGCAGAGCTGCACAGGGTTAGAGAGCTGCAGAGGGTCAGCGGGTAAGAGAGCTGCAGAGGGTTAGAGAGCTGCAGAGGGTTAGAGAGCTGCAGAGGGTCAGCGGGTTAGAGAGCTGCAGAGGGTTAGAGAGCTGCAGAGGGTCAGCGGGTAAGAGAGCTGCAGAGGGTTAGAGAGCTGCAGAGGGTTAGAGAGCTGCAGAGGGTCAGCGGGTAAGAGAGCTGCAGAGGGTTAGAGAGCTGAAGAGTGTCAGCGGGTTAGAGAGCTGCAGAGGGTCAGCGGGTTAGAGAGCTGCAGACAGTCAGAGGGTTAGAGAGCTGCAGAGGGTCAGCGGGTTAGAGAGCTGCAGAGGGTTAGAGAGCTGCAGAGCTGCACAGGGTTAGAGAGCTGCAGAGGGTCAGCGGGTAAGAGAGCTGCAGAGGGTTAGAGAGCTGCAGAGGGTTAGAGAGCTGCAGAGGGTTAGAGAGCTGCAGAGGGCAGGCGATCCGTAAAGACAAACAACATTTGCACTTGCATTTGCAAACATCAAGGAGTTTGTGATGGGGAGGTGGGGATGGAGATCAGAGCTTGGTCAGCAACCACTGCTACCTCAACATAGTGGGAATGATGGCGCATGAAAACGTGTATATATATATATATTCTAATGGACTCATTCAAGGGGATAAAGGCTAACCACAAGGAGTGGGAGGAAAGTTTTAAACTCTCCAGGAGCAGGAGCTGGGGTCTATGAGGTGGTCTTGCTTAAGCCTCGCACGTGTCTAAACAACCTCTCTATTTCACCCGAGACCTTTGAGGGCACTCCCCATCGAGCAGGGAACAAAGGCCATGACCCCTGGGTCAAAAGCGTTACACGGTAGGCCAAGCGGGCCCATTGACTGCTCCGCTGCTGTTTGCTTTAAGAAGGTAAAGATTACTAACACATTAACTAACGGCGATTAGGGGGTTATCCCTCATGGGACTGAAGTCCCAGGGCAGCACATCACGTCTTATTAACACAAGCTGACCTCTGACCCCAGCCGTCACCTCAGGCAGCCGACTGTGACCAACACTTTCTGCTCGCTGTTTCACACACTCAAGAGAGGGGAGACTATCGGAGCAAGGTGCAGCACGGCTGAAAAAAAAAAAAAAAAGGTTTTCTATGAATAAAAAAACAGAAAAAGAAATGAAGAACCAATATTATCAGTGCACAGGAGGTGATGCAGCTATTAGCAGTCTGTGCACCGTGTGTGTAATACTTCTGATTAGTATCCTTTCATGATTAAGTACATTTGATTAAAATTAATAAATTTTTCGGCCTCTGACTTTGAAGCACGTGTTCTACCTCGGTTCATGAAATGGAAGCGTGTGTTACATTCACATCACAAAATGGTGGACACGAGACATGCGCAGAAACGGCGTTCAAGACGAACGAATGATGAAAAACAGGAAAGGGGCGATTTCTTCACAAACTCTTTCTGCCTAACTGTCCAACAGTCACTTGAGTTTCTGCAGAGAAGTGAAATGTAAGAGGTGTGATCATTTGTACTTGTCTCGCTTGAATAAAAACACCGGGAGGATATTAAATCATTTTAAACAGAAGAGTTATCACCAGAGATTTTTTTTTTTTTTTTTTCATTTTGTGTAAGGCCAATTCATTTACAATGTTTGTCCAAAGTTTTCTTCACATGTTAAACTTTTTTTTAAAGTAACAAATTAAAGTATCAAATGAATTCTTAACCCAAAAAATAAATGTATTAAATAACGAATAAATTGGGATTATTAAAAAAATAAAATACCTCTTATTTTGAAAAGCCATTGATAATCCGATAAAGAAAACAAACTGCTCTTTCACGTTTTTCTTTATTTATAGGCAGGTTAAAAAAAAAAAACGATTAAAGCCACTGTGAATAAAAAACAATAACGAGTATATAACGGAGATTCAATACGCAAAATGTGAGTTTTTGAATTTAATTAATAACTGCAAAATTATTTGTATATATATAAAATACATAATGTATAAATACCATTTATACTTTAAAAACAAATACATAGAAACCGATGTTTTTGGACACTTATGTGTTTAATAATGTAGGAAATGTTTTTTGCTAAATGTATAAAACTTTTTAGTTCTCATTATGTTTGATCATTTTTACTTTCTACAGAAAAATCCACCACAGCCCTCACTGCACATACATGCACACTTCTATTAAGGCTTCATTTTTCATGGATAAACTGTGAACCTGTGGAGAAATGTGGAAATTAAAGTTCACAAAAGGGAGATGATTTTGACTTTGTAAAATTCTCTGTGACTCTGATGCTAAAGAAAACTATTATTTATCAGAGGAAACTGAATGAACACACACTCCTTTTTGAAGTTAAACTTCTCAGTAATTGACATGTTTGCATCTGTAATTAACGCAGCATAATTTAGATTTCTCTTTACATTTAATAAAAGTTCCATGAAGACTAATCAGAGATCCTAAATCTAAACCTAAGTAATATTATTATTTAGTAATATTATAATTGAAGTTTTTTTTAAAACTCTTTATACATCAAGTTCCTCTCCCACTGTGGCATATTTCAAACCCATGAATGGCTATAAAATGCATGAATTATTTTATCTGTTGAGTTTTTAAAAAAAATCAGAATTTAGTCTTATTAACATTCCCTGAATTTTCTTTTTTAAAATATGTCTTGCTCTAAACTTTTTCATCAAATCCCCAAAGCAGAGCACTCATTTCTCCATGTGTCAAACGCCCTTCAGTTTGCTTCTGATCTGCCTCCTTCACATAACGAACCAGAAACACAAAATCACAAGTAAAGTAGAAAGTTGCTGTGTTTGTGATGAGTTTAAAGGCATATTCTAAAGTAACTACACTTTAAGAAACGTCATGCACACTCCTTCGATTCATGTTAAGACAAAAAAAAAAACAGACATACAAAGAGTTTCTTTTAGCAGCATTGCACTCACCTCGCTGTCTCTCTTGCAGATTTGTAAAGAAGAAGAGGAGGAAAAGAGCAGGAGGAGAGTTTCTCCTGGGATCAGACTGGAAATTATGGACCTATTTGATATCAGAGCTCCGAGTGGACAACCTATCCAAAGAGGGACGCGCCCTAACTGTAACTAACAACTACTTCTGGCAGCCCTTCAACAACCAAACATATTGTGCTCCATGAGAGCAGCTTTCTGCATGGCAGCATCGACCTGGAGCAACTCAGGAAAGAAATACAGAATGAGGATTATAATGCTAATAAGAATAAATAAATATACATAAATACATGTCTTTTTGATGAGAGTTTGACTGACCCCTTAATGATTTTACTGATGAAACCTCTAACATGGCGATGACGATGCAGACTAGAAAAATCACAATGATAAAAAAAAGTGTCTCCTTACACCTCAAAAAGGTTGTTTTTTTTTACATTTAAAATATTTTCAGATTTTACAAAAATTAAAACACACACTTTAAGCAGTCCTGTGAGGTCACAAGACCAAAGTTAAACCATTAAATACTGACATATCCTTCCTTTAATTAATTTAATAAATTCATGACAAAACTTACTCAGAAAGATGTTAGAATTATAAAATGGAATGATTGAACATTATAATGTAAGCTTCTCTAAGAGTTCCTATTTCTTTAATTTAAGTTCTCACAGGAGACATTTATAAAACTAGTTTTATTTCAGCAACATAAATAATGTGTACCAAGTGTAGCACACTAAACTCGACTGTTAAAAAAAACAAAACGATGCAACGTTCTCAGTTAAAAGAGCACCAGAACAATTTCTCAAAGTCAACGCTGCGTATTAACGAAATAAGTCCGTCGACCAGGCTGCATACCTGAACTCACTTTCTGCACTTTTACCCCCGAGGCCTGCTAAAAGCTACTCCAAACAGCCTCGGCCATTTTGTTTTATTCTTCCTCCTCGCACTAAGCCAGGAGCATGCAGGCCTGGCATTTCAGGGGCCACGTCACATCGCCTGTTTCTGCACTGCAGGGCTGCAAGGTGTCCAACAGCTGAGTAATACACACACTGTGACACGCTGCCTTAACAAACACTATGTGTGAGTGTGTGTGTTGCATTATTATCTCACAGACACTCTCTTTAGCCTCGTTCACTGATGGAAACAGCAAAAAAAAAAACATGCAGCTAATACGATTGATGTGTCTCATTAAACACACCTAAACGTTTCTCAGCTTCAGAGCCTTCAGTCCGAGATCCATTCACACTTTTCCTCTCCTCTGATTTACATGGTGAAGTTAGCTCAGACACAAAACACACAGACACACATTTAAAGATCAAGATTCTGACTTTCTGCACTGCAAAAAAAAAATCTGTAGTCTCTTTTGAAAAAAAAGAAAACAGCACTGATATTCATTAGGAACTGACGAGGGTGAAAACACTGATTCGACTGATTCTTATAGATTATAATTGATGTGCAAAACGCTTTAAACAGAAGAGTATTTATCGATGTGTTAATAAAGCCACACTTTACAGGACAGCTGCATAAACATGTTTTATTACTCCATTGGCTGTTTCTGCTCATTTTTTAAATCCCAGACAAGACATGCTTCAAATGTTGGAGACAAGAAATACTTTGAAAACAGCACACAGTGCACAACTTGTCGAATTATATTCATTTATTTGTCTTGCATGATGTGGTTGTTCATATTTTAAAGGTATTCAAAGTAATGGTTATCTGAGGATTTAAGAGACACACTACCCTGTCGTACAGTATATTGAGTTTTTTTCCACCTGCTTTTTTCATCAAATAAATGGCTGCTGTCCTTCAAGGGGACAAATCGGCTCATTCATAGAGACAAAAACGTTTCAGTAAATCTGAATCTTGAGGGCACACGTGCATTGTAATGCATTCTTTTGTTTATAACTGTTGGTCAGTGTGTTTCGTTCTGAGGGGTCTTACAGCTCATTTTATGTCCTTGCAGGATACTACCACACACATAAGGGTATTCAGAGAATGAATATCAAAATGAATGGCATAAATATTTAATTTGTCTTTTTCCTCCTTATGAAATGTGCAAAGCTTTTCTTTTGAAAGGTCATCCCGAGTTGCATTTTTATGTGTTGTATGTGAATAAGTTTTATTATATTCAAACGTGCACTTAACCCTGACCCCATCACAAAAACACACCCACACCCATGGTCTGACGCAGCCCCCCCCCCTCCCCATTCCCCTACTTCTCATTTCTGCAATTACTCATTTCAATAGCGCAACATATTTTTCTAACCGTGCAATACATATTTTTCATTGAATATTTTATTTTTATTTTTTTCTGGTGCAAGTTATGTGCAATATGCATGATCTGCTGTGAAATATTTTTTGTTCTTTACCGTTCAATACACATTGCTGCTCTTCTCTAACTTGGATGCATGGAGCTGATGCCTCTATGATGGGCACTGTAAGGGGAAACATTTCTAACTTAGTTGTACAATTCTATAATGACAGTGAGGTTTTTCTATTGCTGCTTAAACTTTATCTTTCATCAATAATAATGTCCCTGTGTTTAAATTGTTCACACTACTAACGCTAAACTGTGCTGGGTTTGTAATCGTTCTCTGGAGTGCCATCCTGATCGTCGTCATCACCATCAGCTGAAAGGTGTGGACAATGTGCAGGAGACTGAGACATGATGACCCCCCTGACCCCTCACACTGGCACAGAGAGGCGGAGGGTCATGCGGAGGACATGTTGGTGGAGGGAGAAGTCGATCTTCTCCTTTCCGTTCTGACACAGGACTGTGTACAGCAACAGCTAGATGAGCAGGAGGGCTTTCCAAAATCCACACTCGTTTGGCTGCAAGCAAGACATCAGGGCCGTGTGTGTGTCAAAGGAAACGCTGAGGAAAGCGTTTTTTGTGGCAGCACCCATGCACTTGACAGTGTGTGTTAGTCCACCTCTGTGTCTCTGCTGCGTCCCCACCCTGAGTCAATATCCCTCCACACAAATATCTGTCATGTTTAGTAGCCAAAATGGCACGCAGCCCATTTGTTGGAGGATTCTACCTCGTCTCATCGTGATATGGTTCTCACGTGTCTAGTAAATTTTTTGTCATTACATCTGCACATTAGAAGTACCTCAAGCTCTGCAGAGCAGCGCAGGGCCGGGGGGTTAAAAGGCGCGAGGCACTGAAATGAGAGGGAGAGAAAAGCATCAGCTCTCAGGCTGCTGTCAATTGAGCCTGAGCCTCTGTAATGTGAGGGTGGTGGTGGTGGGGGGGGGGTCGTCAGGGTGGAGGTTAACCTGGCACAGAACCAACCACTAATGCCCCTTAAATGTCAGAGACTGCAGAAAGGAAGGGAGACAGCAAAAAAACGAGAGCACATTCATATTTCAGTATGGCAGATGCTATTATGCATTGCTGCCTCACACTGAGTGCACATGAGGACACCGGCAGAGAGAAAAAGACATGCAGACGTGCAAAATGGGAAATGAAACAGAAAAGAAAAAAAAAAAAAGACTCTGCAGTGGTGATGGAGGCAGCTCCATCTGATGGTTGTCTTTATTCAACAAAGTTCAGAGTGGATCTCTCTCTCTCTCTCTCTCACTCTCTCTCTCTCGCTCTCTCTCTCTGCAGACGAAAATCTGACGGGTGGGGGTCGTGGGGGATGGGGTTGAGTCTGGTGTTGGGGGTGGGGTTGGTTGGACTGCTGGAGAGAGTGATCTTTTTTTCCAGTGGGGTGAAAGGCGGACGGTCATGTGTGCAGAGCTCATGACAAAAGGCCCTTTTATGTGCAGCGTATGCAGATAGAGGAGGCTCCTTTGTGCACAGATGGAGATCCCATGCCTGGGTCTGCCTGCGGCGGAGAGAGGGAAGGGAGGGAGGGAGCGAGGGAGGGAGGGAGGAAGGGAGGGAGGAGAGGGGGAGAAGAGTGTTGGTGAAGGGAAGGGAGGGAGGGGTGTCTCTGGCACTGAGTGCCATCACTGTGTCTGGTGGGGGGAGGGGGCACAGAAAAGGAGAACCAAGCCGTCCTGGACCTGCCAGGTTCATCCATTAGGGAGGAGGGGCCACGAGGCTTGTTAAGAGGATACACAGACTGGTAACCCCACAGTGCGATCACAGAGAGAGCCCCATCTACTGTCTAACAAGTGGATCAGAGTCAAATATTATGTTGTACATACTTTTTCTTTGTTCATATTTTGTTTAGTGTTTTTTATTCTACTTGAGTTCTCTGACAGTAAGAGTACTTTTGTTACATAGATTTCTGTTTTTCGTTTTGTTTATATGTTCATTGTTTTGTACCAGAACATGAAGACAAATACCTTGAATGTGTAAAACCTACTTGGTAATAAACCGACTTCTGATTCTCATGTTTACCAGAATTCTCTGCTGTTGTTGGTAACACCTTGTGATGCCTCAGTCAGCAGTTTTTTTACAAACAAGAACTGGATTATAAGGTAAAAACCGTTTCACCTACTTTTTGATGCCAACCTTTACCTCCTCCTAAGAGCTTAAACATGAAAATATAAGTGACGAATAAGCTCAAGATGGAACTGAAGACGAGCTACAGAGACATTAGTTCAGCTGTGTGCACTCTATGAGGCGCAAATAACCTGAATATGATCAGGTTTAAATCTGTGTCCTGTGTATGTTCAATTTATGTAAATTACATCAAATGTGGGTTTTAAAAAAATCTAGATAAAACCATTATCCTGGAGAAACGAGGATATCTTAGACGCACTCAACTAGACATCAGAATGATCTGAACCCCAGATATGACAGTAATCATTTAAACAAGCGTATTATTAACCAGATTCTTCAAATTCAATCCAAAGAGAAAATCTTCAATAATACAGAAACCAGAATGAAACTCAAAACTGGGAAACAGTTGTCCAAACTGTTAAAACAGTCATAGATAAATCTATCACTGTGGACTACACTATTACTTCTGATGTTATTTTGCCTGTAATCTATCAATCTCTGGATTACACTTTCGGCTTCATGTTGAAAGTATCAACGTTATGATGGAGCCACCTCTCCTGTCAGAGGCGAGGTGACTCCCACTGACATCCCGTCTGCTGAGGAGACGTCACATCCTGTCATGGCCTCCTCCCACTGACCGGGACATCTCCACACCACAGATAGATAATGTCCACTCCTGCCAGAGCACAGAGCGATACGACCCCTTTCACCAGGAGACAGATGGAGCCCCCCCCCCCCCACACACACACACACTGATCTGAGACTTGTAAGCACTTAAATGAATGAAACCGGAAGTCTTTGGAGGTGTAGAGTTTTCTTACAGAGATCTGTCTGG